ATTAATTCCCATAACTTCAGCTATGTGTAAAAGATGGATTCGAATTCCGTTCGAAAGGCTCGATGGAATCCGATAGATAACTTTGAAGGCACTATTTTTGTCCCCTTGGTGACTGCTATCGATCAAATGAACCAACATAGAACTTCGTACGGATTTTATCTGACCTTTTCCGAACCAAGGAGGGAGATGCTCATTAATGCGTTTGTTAAGCTGTCTAGTTGTTCGCCCTATATAGCTCTCTCCACAGGAGCAACTAAATTTGTAGATACACGTAGAAGTGGCAGAGCTAGGTAGCTTATCTTTCACTTGAGCAATCATAATTGGCCGGCATGAAAATGACAAACAAAGGGGGGCGGCAGTTATCAGAACTCAGGCGACATCTAACTGCTACGTTTCCTTTTCATATCGCAGCATCATAAGGAAGTGCATACATGATCTTAACTGAAACCAATCAAATCCACGAAAATCAACACTTGAAAATTAATCTAACGCCCATGAGTAACTGATCACTGAACAGAATTGTCTAGATTTCTAGTAAGAAATTTTAATTATTGGGCTCTGCACAGTCATGTGTAAGCAGAAATACTTCCCGGTGGTATTACCCGGCACTTGGAGTGCTATATATCACAAACTAGAAAGAGTTAGAATTGATGAACGATTGAATTCTGCCCTGCCTCGTAACCTGACGGTATTGAGTTCGATTTCGAGTGAGATCGTTGGTGCTTTCCACAAGCCCACAATCTAAAACCACCGTCTAGTACGCTTCGGTTTTTAGTGGTCCTCTTGCTGTTGTTTGTTCGTAACTAAACTTGAAATCGATCGAATTTTTCTCCATGTTGCGAAAGGACATTTGTTTTTGGCTTACTGTAAAAGGGTTTAAAGTGAAAATTATTTTTCAGTATTGGTTTTATAGGGATTTTGTGTTTGATTGCATGGAGTAGGCAGTAACTCATCGAAGAAGAGATTGCGAAGTGGTCGCGCTATGTCGTGAATTGGCACAAGTTAGAATTCAAGGACCATTTGATCGGGTTTCAGTGGCTCAATGGTCTACGAGCTAGCTCGCCTTGTAACCAGAAGGTCCTGAGTTCGAATCCCCGTGGGTGCGTACTGATGAAGAGTCCCAAACTAGGACGAAACAGCTGTCCAGTACTCCCAGGTTTTCCAGTGGTTCTCTAACTAATGTCAGCTCATGATTAAATCCCTTCATGCAATGAAAATTATTTATATGCAGTCAATATGAAATGATTTCAACTAACCGACGCACGTCGGTGGCACAGCGATTAGGACTCTTGCTGACCATGCACATGTTCCGGGGTTCGATCGCCTGCCGACACACAATTGATATCAATGGTCGGCCTTCAAAATTTGGGCTACTGATATCACATGCTAAAAATTCCATACTTCTACCAAAAATTACTGTGTGGAATCAAGCTGTAATCAAAAATAAAAAAAGTTCATTCTATAGAAATCATCATTCATTTTACTTAAAGGAGATTTTACCAGTTGATAAAAGTTCTAAGTGACAAAATAGTCGCTAAATTTTCTGAATTACATGGATAACTGAATGAATTCTGCAAATAGATTTAAAGTGACAAGAGTGAAATGTGAATTAAGGCATTTTACCCCATTAAAAATTGTCTGATTTAGGCGATCAGAGTTTTCGCATTAACAAAGACAAATTATTCTGAAATGTTTATATGGAACTATCGGAAATACAGGAGATTATAGTTTCGAGTTTATGAGAAATGAACATATATCAAAGATCGATCTACAGGAAACCAACATGGAATGGTCAGTACAGAAATTTCCATAGCTTGGTCCCTTTGAGAAGAAATAGAAATCTGATCCATTCCTTATCTTCAAGAATAAGGAGAATATGTTCAAGTGATACAATCGACGGGGAACTTGGGCGACTCAGACAAGTTCTCATAGAGAATGGATATCCTCCAAGATTTATCGAGAAAAACATGAAGTTAAGACAAAAGACTGGAAGAATCCAGATGGTGCCAAGGAAACTGCTTTTTATGAGTGTTAAATTTAAAAGTGATACCGCAGATGAGATCTTGAAGAATCGCTTATGCAGATCATTGAGGAAAGCCTTCTTTATGGCTGAGCTACGTATCAATTTCTAGAGCCGAAAAATGATCAACGGATGTGTGAAGGATGAACTGCCGCTTTGGGCCACCTCAGTGTGTGTTTATAAATTCACCTGCCCGAATGGAGCTAGTTATATTGACCGCACAAAGCACAAGCTTTCCAAACGCATCTCTGAACATTATCCGGCATGGTTAGCAAAGGGACAATGCAAGACAATTACTAGCTCAATTGTCGAGCATTTGGTGAACTCAGGCCGCGTAGCTCCACCAGAGTCGTCTTTCAACATCATCTACAAAGTGAAACCAAATGGTACAAAGGGCAGGAGGTTTCGGCTTTTGTGTATAGCGAAGGAGCTGGCAATTCATCAATACAACCCTGAACTCTGTATACAAAAACAGTTTGTCCAGTCTCTTATTCTATCTTGGTCTTAACCTCTTCACTAATCTTTCCCTGTAAAACATTTGTGATTTTTTCTTTTGTTCTTAATTTTTAATTTTACTCTTAGTTTGCTTTTGCTTTAATAATTAATTCACTATTATCAGTTTCATATGCTCCTTTTGTATATTTTCACACTTGTTAAATTGACGCTCAAATACCTTTATTCTCACTCAAAAGCAATTTTTACCTTATCAAACTTCTATCTTTGTTCGGCTGAGTACCACGTAATTTACAACTTTTAATTTTCACTTATAAGCCACTTCTGAGTGATTTTATCTATGTAAGCGCCTAAATACAAAAGCCCTATGAGTTCTGTGAACCTATAAATGCACGTTTGTGTACTCAGGTTATGGAAGACAAGATTTGCAATAGGGAATCCATTTCTGAATGATACACGAAGATTTAGATGACAACACACGAATCATTATATGAGTTCTAATCTGGATAGTGACAAAGAACTTATTTCAGCAATACCTTTTTCTCAAAACTACCAACAATATAAATAATTGTCGAGTAGCTTTGCATATCAATAGTGAGGACAAATCAAAAGTGGAATGCCCAAAACTACTTCTCAAACCACTCGAAAATAACGCTTCATTATGTAACTAAGGTGAATTCAAACCATCTCACTTTCTATTGAAGTATGTGCTGAACAAGTTGTCTAAGAGGACAGCGATAGCGTTTCAATCAAACTACCCAGCTCGGAGAAGGTAGCCACATCGAAACCCGTCTGACGGAAAGATGGTCTCTATTGTCGGAAAATGAGTAGAATGAACCGGGAAAGGGAATACATAGTCGCTCACGGCTCATGGTTTCTTGTAATTCCTATTTTTTCGGTCATACAATTATGTCCCTGACTCCCTAAAAGTACACGCACACTTCTGATTGACTTTCAAACTACCGGCGTGCACTAATCCGACATTTCTATACAATGTGCAAACGTTTTTATCCCGTATAAAGCTGTAATTTCAGTCTGGATCTTGTCGTCAACCAGCATACATGTACTTGGTCTCGTCTCCGGCTTCGAGCCCTAATGAGGTTGTGTTTACGCTTTTCATAAGCGTCACAAACTAGGATAAAACAGCTGTCCAGTGCTCCCTGGTTTTGAATGATCTCTGACTCATGTTGGTTCGTGACAAAATCTACATTGAAATTAATGTTAATCCATACAAATCTCCATAATCTGAAACGCTGCTTCTATTGATAAAAAATGGTGAGATTGTGTTACTTTTCCTTATTTTTCGTTGAAAATCTTTTTAATCCAATTAAAAATGGTGACAATTTTCGTTTATTGGTGATAAAAACCTCTCTCGTGCAGCAATGATCTTACCACATGGACCTTCTTGAAGTAATCTGGGAGGCGATGACTAGCAGGATAATCCAAGTTGTGCATTTCGTCCTATTTGGAACTCGTCACTGAATGTACCCAAATTCTCCATTCTATGAGTGCCGGTGTTCCCAGTGAGGTTCTAACCGAGTATCCATGGTTTCAAACGGCAAGGCATTATCCTCTTGACCATTTGGGCCTCAAAAACCGCATTTTGTGCAATCGGTATCGGCTATAATTTGATTCAGTTTAAACATTTTTACTGATGATGAATAGCAGGGGAGTTACCGTTCACCGAATTGCTACGAATTAAAACCTCAAAGCACCTGCACAAGCAGTCAGTATGTCACCAGATACAGAACTCTTTGGTCCAGTCATTCACTGGGAAAGTTCAAATTGAATTAGCCTTTTACACTTACTTGTTCGACACAGTATTAAAATGATGAACACTCTCTGATAATACCTAGATATTTCATAATAGCGTGTTATTTTGTCAATGGTGATTGATACTGGAATTTCTGATGCATATTTAGTCGCATTCTGAACTAATCAGTTGGATGAACTTATATCTCAGCGGTTTGTGGTGTTCCTACTGAGAAGCTTAACAACCTTATTTAGAAATAACATACATTTCTGACTTTAATCTTTATATCTGACTAAGCACTGTGTGTGTGTATTGTACTTTGGTTTTTTTTTTTGAGTGCTGTTAAAACATTAACCACTCAATATCTCTCTCTAAATATATATATACATATATATAATGCCTTGGCATTTGAAACCATGAGTACTTGGTTAGAACCTCAGTGGGAACAGCACCACTCACTGACTAGAAAATACAGGTATACACGCTTAACGAGTTTCAAATAGGACGGAACGCTCATCCTGGATTACATTGCTAGTCATCACCTCCCAAATTACTCTCCTTCCTACACGAAGTTGTCGCAGAGTAACAATAAGCATAGCTGATCCGCGCATATCTAGGTTCGACTTCACTCCTACCTGTTGTTTTGTAAACGTTATATTGGAAACAGAAGCTGTATTTGATACACTACGTCAACCGGTTACCCATTTAGTCAGCTTAAACAAATGCCCTCAGAGAACTTATCATTTTAAAAGTCAAAATCAAAACAACATTTAATGAAACTAATAACTACTGCCTATATTTAGTGACCGATATTGAACAATTCTTCAAAAATATTGCATATCATAACTATGATGTTTCATAATGGAGTAATGTATCCAGCTTTTGTGCAAAGTATTCCATACGTTTTTCAAATCGTTTACCTACTGATTAGGGAGAAATTAAGAAAGAAAAATTAGAGGTGGGGTTACTTCTGTGTGCAAAAAACAAGCAACTTACCAATCTTAGCGATTTCTAATAATTTCTTGTCTAAATCCTCCTTCTTGAGATATTTATCAATTACTTTGTATACATGTCTACGTCCAGTTTTAGACGATTGCCATAATGTGTAAAGTATTTGTTTCTGTAAATAGTAGATATTAGTTGATATTATGTGCATATTAAAATCAATCAGCTTACCGATCCACTATCTTTTCCAAGCATATCATCGTCATCATCTTCTTCTTCATGATGGACTACCTTCTCCAGTGTTCCTGCTCTGAAAGAAAAAAAAGCATTGAAAAGAGTAATGTTTGCATTATTCAGAAATACAATGTTCCTAGACTTACAGTTTTAATAAAAAGGTCTAATGTAATAACTAATTTTGACAGAGTGAAGGTTTTTCTCGTCTAAGTCGGCCTAATAAGGATTTAAACCGAAAATTCTGCTCTAAGTTATTCAGAAAAATACAAATTATGCCAGGATGCTTGCCAACCCCGCAGATGGTTAGGGGTTTGATCCCCTGCTGACATACTCCTTTACCTCTCACTAAGCCAGTAATAGGGCTGGTAAAGAGGGAATGTTTAGAATGAGGTTAGTAACCCCATTCCGTATCAAAATAAATACCACTGCTACCGAAATTTCAAGCCACTAGCTTGAAGCCCTATGTTCCCCTGGGGAACATAAAGGAATAAAAATAAATAAAATAAAAAAATGAAACCATGACATTGATGAGCAGTTTGACTTCACTGTCTTTCAGTATATAAATGGAAAGCGTTATGCATAAGACAGTAACTGTCCATCATTCCCAATAAATTATTATGACAATTTATACATATATATGTCTACCAACATTTGTCAACCTAATTCAACAGCTATTTGGTGATGCCACATGTCAAGTGATTTTTCAGAGGGAAAGTTTGCGATGCTTTTAAAGTGAATGTGTCACGTGGCAACGGTTACCCACAAAAGTTCATCGACAAGTATGGGAGACGTCATGTTGAAAAAGTGAAAAGCAGCACAGTAGACAAAAAGCCTGTCTTTCTGCAGCTTGCATTCAAAGGTGATAATACTGCTAGGAGAATAAGATGCAGACTGAACGCTGCCCTGAAAAGAACGCATCCAGCCGCCAAGCTTTTATGTGTTTATCAAACAACTAGTTGTTTGAGACAATCAAAAGTGGACAAATACCCACCTCATGTTACCTCCAACTGTGTCTACCAATTTACATGTACGTGCCAAAGCACATACATTGGAAGAACAGAGAGAAGGGTTGGTGTCCGCATTTATAGACACATACTAAAGAACCTGAGACTGAAAGGTCCGCAAGCATTAAAACAGTGCGATTGCTCGTCATCTATTGGATACTGGTCATATTGTAGACAACTTGAAGTCGTTCAAAATAATCAACAAACAAAAGAAACCAAGCTTGCTACGCTTTGTTTGTCATTCTAAATCAATTATTTTTACAACGATAAATTCTATGCTATTAAATTTCACACAATATTACGTAACGTTTTTGTTTTATTCGATTTGCCTACTAATCCTATAATTGCACATCCTTTTTCAAGTTCTATCCCTCCTATGAATTATTCTATATATGACATTAATCTGCTTTGCCACTTGACATTTAACTACGATTATAATCACAAACATTTTAGTTTTAATCGAACTTCATATGATTATTATTATTATTTTGTGCATTCACACCTAAGATTCAATTCCCTCACCGGATATAACTTCTGATAAACCATATATATACGACTGTACAGCTTGAAGATAAATTCGTTGAAAAGAGTCTCTTCGCTGAATCACTTGTTTTGATTTTCTAAGAAGTAAATGTCATCAAACGACTTAAACCAAATATATGTACACAGAAAGAGACAGTGGTGAATCTTGCACTGCACAAAAAAAATATACAACTTTCATGAGTCACCTTTTTCATGTTTAGAAAACTCTACTCTCTCATCTAAACATGAATCACCCTACCTTGTTTCTTTTCTTCCCTTTTTTCTATTGGCTATTAGATAAGAAGTTTTCTTTAGTTACGTAATCTACTTTTTTGTTATGCTCTTTCTAGCCTAACCTTTTTTCTATACACACACATATATATGCAACCCTGTTTTTTTGTTTCCAAGCCTAATTGTCTAATTATTCTATAAATAGTCAGTGTTTGTAACTACTAATCAGTTAAATCATTCCGGACTAATGTTACTTTTAATTCCTACCAATTACTCCTTGTGATCGTGGATAAGTATGTTCATATCTCTAATGTAATTCATATTTTTTAACGTTCAGGTTGTAACCAGTTGAGAAGAATCTTCGATTAAATAATAAAAGATGAGCTCATATTATCCTGGTACAAGTGTTTTTCTTGTTTTGTTCAAGTTTATTAATGGGAAGAATTGCATGAAGTTTTTAAATATACAGAAGATGGAAGTGATGAAAAGATTTAACCAAAATCAAACAGCAAGCGCAAGTCATTATCGACGGGAAAAATCTAAAGTAAGGAACGTCTTTCATTGACTCAAAATGGGTAACATCGTTTTGTCTACAGATGGCACTGACTAGGATAACAAAGTCAGGATGAGAAAAACAAAACAGGTTATCAATCTAAAATAATTGTGGAGAAATTCGGATTTTCAATACTCTTGTCAAGTCACTTAGTTCTTCTATGGAGTTTACAGTCTTGATGCACACGTCACGAAAAGCGTTTCGATTAGGCTACAAACGTTTGTCAGAAATTGACTTTACTATCTCAGCATGGAGGATCAGATGATCAGAATGGATTAGCAGCTAGGAACTCTGGCAATGAACTTACCAAGAATCTACCCACAAAAAGAAGTCATCAACTGGGCTGTACATTTGTGTACTTATGGTAAATGGGTGTGGAAGTCTTAGAACTGTTTCCGATCAACAGACAAATTAATAAAATTTCATTGTGTGATAAACAGGAAGGCTGGATCAAAATGCATAGTAGGGTTATAATTACTGAGCAAAATTGACTTTTTGTACAACTAAGGTTTAAAAGCATAGTAATAACAAAAAATATTTGGAAGCAAACTGGAGATAGTCTGGACATACACTGAGTGGAACTGGAATGAGGAACAGTGTATTCGATGTGGAGGAGTTTGTGTGAAGAGGAAATGAAAACCCATAGGCGGAGGTGTAGCTAGTTAAAAAAGAATTCAGAGAAGGAGGTGAAGTGAAAATGTGTTGTTGAACCCCCATGTTCGCCTTGGAATGTAAAGGAATTACAACAAAAATCGATTGCATAAGTGTTGGTTCTCGTGATCAAGCGGCATTTTGAAACGATGGGCGCTGAATTCAAGCCTCCATGAGAACACCATTACTCAGTGGAAATGCAAGGACATTCAGCTAACAAAGTCTCAAATAGAATAAAATACACTTTATAGATTCTACTGTCGGTCGATATCAATCAGAAACTAAACCTGATTAATCCTAAGAAAGTAAACTGCTGTTAAAAACAGATGAGGCTTTACTCTGCGGATTATTTACTAACATATCCTAATGATACAATAATATGACTGGCTTTAAAGTTGGAAAAAATGAAGTAAACATCTCTTCATTAAGTTAATGAATTTAACTCACTTGATGACGGTGATCGACATTAGGAGACAGCATACTAAGAACGTCAACAGTAGTGTCAACTTCATGGTCTCTGACAATCACAATCTATTCAACTTGAGTTCAAATTTTATTGAAACGACATACACTACACTTATCTGTCTGTCTATATATATATTAATACTTTTATAGTGACCCATTTGATATCCAGTTAAATAGTTGTCCACCAATTCGGTAGATAGATGCGTCTAGAGCACTGGATAACCCCGCACACTTAAGTAAATATAAAGTTATCATAAAAATACCTTAGTTATGACCCATTTTTGAATGTTTATGTCTATTTCGGCTATTTGTATACTTCATCTATGGCTAAGTAATCTTCAGTGTTTCTTTTGAAACTGATAAGTTAATAATCAGGTGTGTCAGTTGACTGTGGACCTAATCAGACGACAAACGGAAGCCGTTTTACATGATAAGCATAGTATTAATAATATTATTTTCACTCTGTGTGACTGTCTAGGTGAATTTCGGTCTAGTCGAGGAGGATAACAGGAAATGGAATTTAAGAGAATAAATCGCGTCACTTGAAGTTAACCTTTGACCACTAGGTTAAGGACAGCAAAGCTGTTCTCTTTATTCCCATCGTAAGAGCGGAAGAAGATTCCATATGTTCTGGACAGGTGTTAAATCACTGTTACTGTAAGGAATGTTTATTTGCATGCTCACCTGCAGTTACGGTGACACTTATATAGGTAGAACCAATGAAATATACCAATTTCGTCGAAAAGAACATGTTCTAAAATGGTTAATTAAGACACATAAAAAATCTCAATGCAAGTAATCTGAATAGAAATCCAGCATCATCCATTGCAGAGCACTTGTTAATGTCAGGTCACAAAATGCAGTATTAATGACTGTTTCACAATTATTTCACATAATTCTAATTCAAGGTGATGAAAGCACTTTTGGGGATTAATTGCATACATCCTAAACTGTGTGTACCAAAAAACAACAGACGGCAACCTTCGTCTACTATGGACTACTTGATCTATTTAGATATGATTGGTCATTAGCATGTACGTTTTCCTATGTGACTGAGTAATTGTCATGCTTTTGAAGAAATTTTATTATAGTTAACCATCTTAGTTGTAAAGCGGTTAAAAAAAAATCTACGAAATGATATAATTTCGCGATTTTCGTCTTCTAAGTGAAGAGTCGGTTTCAATCTCTGCATAACCAAATTATGTAGAACTTATCGTCAACCAACCATCTGCACAGATGTTCATGTTGAGGTAGTTTTGAAGTAAATATTGGGTTTCTTTGTGTTCTTTGCACGTCTCCCATGTATCTGTATAACGTTGTATCATTTACTTTTTCTGAAATCAAATCTATCTCCTTGCTATTTAAAGTTTTTATGCCAACGAATGTCTCTTTATATACTACTGATAAATCTCATCAGGAGCACTCACCACACTATGGCACGTACTTTCAGTTGATTCGATAAATAAACAGAACAATGAAACTTAAGTTTCTAAGTTGTGCAGCTACATTAGGTGATATGATTATGAATAGTAAATAATATTCGATACGCTATCCAGTAAATAACAACACTGTTTCACAGTGTGATATTTCTAATAAACAGACTAATATGGAATTACATGCCACCACATTGGTCACGCCTTACTCATTGTTATGTACTGGTCAAGTAATTAATAGTCCTGACGCAAGATGCCGGAAATCAGAAAACCACCAGGTTCACGATGATACTTGTATTTTTCAAACACAAGGAAAATTCAATGTCACACAAGTGTATGAGCGAATGTTCAAAAATGAACGAATCAATAGACAGTCTTAACATGATTGGTTGTAATGTGATGTGACAACTAGGTCAGACATGCTTGTTTAGTTAGTGGACAGACAAAAGAATATTGTCAGTTATAATGGAATATCGATCCACATACACAGCAAAATATAATTGACTGTCAACAACAAAACACACACATCATGTGGACACACATCACTCATACACCCATTAAGGATGTCCAAAACAAACCTCTAAACACTGATCATAGATCGAAGAAAATTCTTTTCAATAACTTCTTCATTAGGCTGTACAGTTATAAATCTAGAATAATTTAAGAAAAAGTATTTTTAGGAGTAAGTTTGTGGAAATTTGATCTAAGTTCGATTATTATAGGTTGATATCATTTACAGAACTATTGAAAACCACCAGGGAGTAAGGGATGGATGCTTTTGTAGGACTGCTCAGGTTTCACCGGTAGTACTCACCCACTGGGGTTCAGGTTACGAGGAGAGCTCGTAGATCATTTAGTCACTGGGGCCCGAATCAATGGTCCATGAATTCTGGCTCCTGCCAATTCATGATATATATTCAGCGCTTCCTACAGCCAATGTCATATCCTCTTGTCTGATTTAGTGGACCCAGCTGGTTACAACTTCTTATTAATGTGTTTGATAAATTGGGATTAGAGTTCAAGCGTATGAATTAATGGATAACAATCAAGAGAATCATAATAACAAAGATAAATTCATTCAGGTATTTCTATAACCTAGGTAGTGGGGAGTGTATAGTTAGAATGTGCATACCAGTAAGGGTGGAGGGGAAAATAACTATTCTCACATGGTGATCAGATAATATAACACAATAATAAATTGTGAAGCCGAGATTGAAATGTACAACTACAGCACACCATGGTATTGATAATGCAGTTAGCAGTACAAATAAATTATTATTATTCCCTTGGGTTCCAAGTGCGACATAGACCTTCAGCAATACATCGCCATTTTCTTCTTTTGTTTTCAGCCATCCTCTAGAGCTGGGTCCACGATTGGTCAAGAGTTTTCATCTCTCCCTTATACAATCTCCTCCATGTCACACCGAGACGACCAACTCGTCGCATTCCATTTGGATTCCACTTAAGGGCCTGACGTTCGATGTAATTTGACGGCCTCCTCAAAGTATGCCCGATCCACCTCCACTTCCTCCTACATATTTGTTGAACGATTGATCCTTGGTTGGGTTGTTTCCATAGTTTCTAGTTACTCATTCTTTCTGGCCATTTGATCTTGAGTATGAAGTCAGTGAAGGAAGTTGTTGATGAAAGTCTGCAACCGGTTGGACACTTATTTCGTTACACATCAAGTTTCTGACCCGTATAGAAGTGACCGACCTGGCATTGGTGTTAGAAATGTAATTCTGGTTCCTTATTCTGTGTGTAGAAGATAATATTTACAGTTATCTGGTATCACCAGGAGAGATAACTGTTTTAGGTTGGGGTTGAAAGCCAAGGATGGGAGATAGATTGGACAAACTACTTCTAAACACAGAGAATGGGTTAGAAATGTTTTATGGTAACTACACCAGCTAGGCTTAAGCAATCGGAGACGTACCAACCCAAAGAGTTGACGTGGCGCCTTGTATAGAATTACAGAAGCTGAATTTTTGACAATCTTGTGCTTCGTTTTCACTAGGTGTGCCAGTATGGAACTCCTAATTGACTTAATAACTCCTTTACGTAGCTACTTGGAACAAGAAATAAGAAGATGACGGTAGGCTACTTTAGTTGTTCTACCTATGTTAGATTTATAAATGTACACTGAAATGGCCAGACTCGGTAGTTTATCCTTCGCTTGCGTTGGAATTATAAAACAAGTAATGAATTTTAAGCACAATGTTGCCAGTAAATCGGCAGCTGCGTCCCCCTCTAACTGGGTGACGTGGATTCAAATCTCACAATGGATATGAGTCCCTTCAACGTAGCAGATACGCCTTGCTGACTGGTGAGTGCCAACTAACACGAAACCTGGGTCAAACAAGGCTTCCTTTCAATTGCCTCCAACCATCTAATTTCATCAGATTAATGTACACCATGATGGCGAGCTACCTAGAATGATGACCACATTGCAAACCTGACTGATAGAATTCAATCTGCACCAAAGGAAGAACTAGACACATCACGCTGAGTTTATTTACCGAAATGAACTCAATTTGACCCGAAAACATCAAAAGGTATCATCAAAAAAGACATTGAATAAATTCACTAACAACTGTATTCTTCATAAATATTTAAAATATATAATACATAATTTTTTGTCTAGGATGTTTCATAGTTGAAAACCGCATCCAGCTGCTTCGCTAAGTATTCCATACGCTTTTCAAAACGTTTACCAACTAATAAAATAAATAAAAAATAGGAGAATAATTTTTTATTAGGTAAAAACCATTTTTAAAAAGGAAACAACTTACCGATTTTTGCAACTTCTAGTAATTTTTTGTCTAAATCTTCTTTTTTCAAATACTTGTCAATTGTTTTATAGACATGTACACGTCCTCGTCTACACGAAGCCTGTAATACTCGAAGTATTGGTACCTAATATATGCGAAAAAAAGGCATTTAGTATTAAAAAGAAATTTTTAGTATCATTACCATTCCACCATCTTTTCCGTAGTCATCATCGTCATCATCATCTTCGCCGTCTTCGTCTTCACCTTTGGCGTCAGTCACATTAGGCTTTACTGTCACTTTGGTTTCAGCACTGAAGGGGAATAAAACAACAACATGTGAGGTAAGCATAAAACTCTAATATTCGGCTCATTTAAGTCTTAATTACATAAATAAACTGTGCTGATAATCCTTTTGAAAAAGAGATCTGAAAGCAAAGGCCTACAGAATAAAAAACACTGGTGTTTCTAAATAAATACTGTAACTCTTCTACTCAACTTTACTGTTTGTTGTATGCTTGATACGTTTACTAGCGTAAAACTAATATTTGATGATGCAATATGTGATAACTTGGTAGTTGAGACTCTAATGAATCTTTTTTGTTGGACTGAATGTTTGTTATCGCTCAATTTCATCAAATGATTACTATCCTTGATGCCATTCAGGTGGCAGATTGGTCAAAGAACTTGTGTAGTAACCCGAAAGCGACTGATTAGACACTTAATGGTGCTGTGGATGAGCACTGATGTAGGGTCCTCAACTTGGAGGGAAATCACTGTCTAGCACCCATTGGTGGCGATTCGTGACCCTTAATCTACGTTGGAACCAATCGAAGTAACACCTGAACTTTATTATTAAGAATGAAAATGGAATAACACAAATGATTCATTATTTAACCATCTGAGAATACATCAGATCCAAGGATATATATATATATATATATATATATATATATATACATATTGATAATACTGAGTCACAAGCCCTCAAAGTCATTCTTATATGAATCTCAGCCTACAAAAGGTGTATTTTGACATGTTCTCCACTCTTTTTAAAACCTTTAGTCTCTTGACATTACATTTCTGACACTGTAATGTGTTCAATACACTCTTACAGATAAATGAGGACTGGTGGAATTCACAGAAATTAAAACTATGGTTCAAAATGTCATGAATATGTGTCGTTATTACTGAAAAAATAAAATTACGTGAATTAATAAATTAAATAAATAAATTACGTGAAAAAATAAAAGCCTATAGCTAATCGTACAAACATATTAAGAAGACTTCAAGGAACAGGAAGAAACGCAGATGTGCTGTTGAAGTCTTATGTTTCCTTAGGAATTCAAAGGATTAATTTTTATTTAATTCGTTTACATTCCGAGTGGAGCGTAGGGCATCAGGCTAGAGTTTTGAAGTTTTAGTACCATTGGATTTTCTTTCTACAGATTGGGGTTGCTAGTCTCACTTCCAACCTTCCCTATTTACTGGCTTTATTACCGGCTTAGAGAGGTTTAAGAGGGTGTCGGCCGGGAACCGAATCCAGTTCCCGGGTGGTGAGCATTCCACCTGCCGAACCACTGACTCAAAGAAATAACAGTAATAATTAAAACGTTCTATAATTTATTTGTAAAACTTGGGCACTATGGTATTCAGGTAATCCTATATTGATTTGTTTATTAGGTATATCACACAGTGAAACAGTATTATTTACTGGATGACGTTTCGAACAAAATTTACTGTTCATAATCATATCAATTATAATCACACGCCTTCGAAACTTCAGTATTATAATTTTCTTTGTCCTCTCCTATTTGTCGTCGCTGGGGTAGTAGAATTTTCCAGATGTCTAAATGGACAGGTGTTGAATCATTCCTATTACACGTGTTTGCAGTTGATTTGATAAACAAAGCGTCGGTCAGTCATCAATGTCTCACTCCACCCAGCTGTTACATTAGATTTTGAAACTGTCATCGTATCTCATCCCAACACTTATCCACTTGAACATCTGGAAAATTCTACTATCGCGACGACGACAAATAGGAGAGAACAAAGAAAACTATGAAAATGAAGTTTCGAGGTCGTGTGGTTATAGTTGGTAACACTTATACAAGTATTATTTAAAAGTAACCATTACAAAAGAACAGAAGTGATTACCTTGTATTTGACTTACTTGATTATCGTCGGTGGGAGTAGAATGCACAACACAATGAAGACGAATACAGTGAGTTTCATATTAACACTGATCACTTAGATTTTTTTGTGAAACAATGTTGAACTCATTAGAGTACAACACGATGTATGTGTATATATAGTGATTTAAAGGTGAGATATTTATCGCTTCTCCTGTCAACTACCTTTTTCTATCCATTCTATCACTCTCTCTCTAATGTGTATATTCAGATAGTAAGATGATTTAGCTTATGTTTACTGAAAAATAGTAATGGGTCTTTGTACTTGTTAATATCCATTGACCGTATTCAGATACAGGAAATAAACTTCGTTAGCTGTTGACTGTACTACACACTTATGAAAACTGTTCACTGAACTATTTTTAAAATTTATTTCGAATGTTATAATTGAGGTTACATGCATATATCAAATTAAATCTATGAATTTATAAACCGAAGACTATTGAGTAATATAATATATATATATATTAAGGTTAATACTTGAAAATAAATATACTAAAGGTGGTTAAACAACGATATCTGAGAACTCGATTTCGGAAAAATGATGAACTTTATAGGAAGAATTATAAAATACTCTGTAATTAATAAAATATAATCAGCATGGTTATCATAAACTGACAAACAATATGATCTATCCGTTCAACAGTTTGACTGTATGAAGGATGAAATGTCGTAAAGTGAGCAAAGTTAAGGGTTTAATAAAAATTAAAGCTTGAGAATACTTAAAACTTAAATGGATGAAATTAGTTTATTCGTAATACTGTTTATCATTCAGGTTAACTGGAATTTCATGTTGACCGGTTGTTGTATTGTCGACTGAAATGCTCCGTCTCCATTGACATTGTCATTATGAAGACTTCTGTTATACTTTGAGACAAAAGCTATGTTGCTTGGTTGGTGGTAGCTAGAAGTCTCACTTCTCTACCTATTTTTGAGTAGTTGGAAGTGTGGTTCATCGGCTTAAGTACTCGACTTTCAGTCTATTGGGTCTGAGGTTAGAATCTCGATCTACCCGACTGGTTAGTATTTTAGCAACAGAAGGCAAGACACGGAAGCGTAGGTATATTTTCCATTGGTCAAACTGCTGTTTATGCATCTGCAGTTTATATTCGTTAACTAATCACTGAGCGTGTGATTGCGGTTTACATCAAACAGCATGAAATAGAATGTTCAAACAGACATATCGTATTCTGTTGTTAATGCCGAATTGAACTGTGGGAATATATGAGAATAATATCCCGTAGGCACACACTGTCTTTATTACACCATCGTAGTATCATCAACCATGACATTATAAGTGTGTTTCAAAGCTCAGCACCGCATTAGTGAAATCTAACCAACTAACCATTCGGGACTAGTCTACAGGATATACCGACATTCTTGGTGAGTAGTGACGTTCCTGATGAAACTTGAATCCACAACTCATTATTTTATAATATCAAAGAATTACTTGCTGGGACACTGCGCCACGCGAGACACTTCTTGTACAACAAATATAATTTCTTATTTCTTCTCAATTTGGTCGAATATAACTACTGAGTAGGAAGTTCAAAATAAGTTAAATAACGAACAAATGGTAATCGCTGCAAAAGACATGGCACTCCAGACTCAGTGGGCTAGTGAACAACACTTTGGCGTCTAAAATGAAAGGCGCTGAGAGTAATGGATATGAAAATCATCATTAGCAGTCCACTTACACTAGTGATAGTTATTCGAATATTTAAACTAATTCCGTAATTAATAACATCCTTTCCTAAACTGTGTACCATCATTCAAACATTTGTAAATTTTTTTTCAGCCTAATCCTTATTTTTCACCAGTTGATCACCGATTAATATCAGTTAGAGAATCATTGAAAACCAGCACTGGAGTACTGGAAAGCTGTTCCATGCTGGTTACGGAATCATTGGAAGTACGCAACCACCTGTCAGGGTTCGAACCCAGGACCTTCTAGTTACAAGGCAAGCTAGTATACCATTCAGCCACTGGGACTCGATTCACTGGTCAACCCATGAATTCTAACTTCTGCCAGTTCGTGATTTAGCGCGACCCCAGCCAATGTCATCGGTGAGACATCCATCCTCACACTTCACTGGATGGACCTTACTAGTCACGACTTCTCATTGGAACTCCATGAAACTCCGTCCTGTTCTTGATTTTGGCTGATGACTATTTTTAGGGTGTAATAGTGTTGGCAATAAAATATTGTTTTACAACGGAGTTTTTGTTCGGCGGAAGTGAAGGTTACTCCGTGGACTGACTGCTTGACTTCACAATGTTGACAGGAGACGTATTTTGTTCTGTCTGATTTTTGCAGGAATAGTCCTGACCCAAATTTGTTGCGGATACTCTCACTTTGTCTTGAGCAGTTGAAGACTACGTTCGATCGGTCAGTCTTGTTGTGCAGTAAGTATCTTCTGTATGAGGAACTTTTGCAGTGCATGGCAACTGGATGGCATTTTTGGGCTGGTTTAGTATTAATGTTGAGTAGTAACACATATTCTATCAAGCTAAGACGTATTTTAGTACTGCTGAAAAATAATTTTGAACTGCGCATTACCCTCAGAAGTTTGACAGATTACACAGAGGAACGCATCGATCAGTTTCCTGAGTTAAGACCAACATATTTGGGTTTTGGTCACTGTATTAGGTTCGGGTTTCAGTTAAGACACTGCGACTCTGTGTGGATGTAAGCGTAACTGACTGATGAGTCTCGAATGTGAGGTAACGTGGATTTGAGATTGCATAGCTGGCCACCACAAACCGAATTACAATGCTGATGAAGCTCCTTGTCTTTTCAATCATTCAGCTAAATGTTAAATTCACATTACTATCTTACAGCTATTTCATCTCAGTACATATTATTTATCGATGACACACATAGAGAATCTTTAATCCACTTCAAAAAAAGTTAATTTTAGGAGTGAAAAAATGTTTATGGATTTCTGTGATGTACTTATGACGTCTCAACAAATGTCATTATAAATGAGATTAGCCCATGAAATTTATTTGTTTTAAAGAACTGCTCCTACCTGAAGACACCAGATCTTTCAGTGGTCTCTGAATATAATTTTAAATGGGTCATAACTAAAGTTGAAATAAAATGTGGAACACGACGTAATCTGTATGAAAAGTTTCACTTTTTCTGTGTTTATTAACAAGTTTCCTGGAGCGTGATTACACGCATATATCCTTATTGACAAGCAGTTGAATGTATGAAAGTGCAGCTCATCAAATAGCATCCAAGTGTTGGTTTTCAGGGAATGAATTGGCCACAAGGTTCGTCAAGAGATGACATCAGTTATAGAACCAATGGGATTCTTCAATAGTACGCACTCATCGGGGTTCGAGCCCAAGGCCTCCCGTTTACTGTGTGAGCTGGTAAGGCACTCAGCCACTGGAACCTGACCCAGCGGTGCATGGACTGGAATTTCTGTCAGTTCGTGATATATATATTTAGCGCAAGCGCCAGCCGGTGTCACAGGCGAGTAACTGTCACCTTGACTACCATGGTGGATCTTACTGAATGGTCTGTGAGTTGGCCTTGTAGCCAGAAGTTCTTTGGTTCGAGCCTTGGTGGATGCCTGCTGATCAGTGAGACCCAAGCACCTGGACGAGATACCTGTGCAGTGTTCTTAGGCTTTCCAGTGGTTCTTCAACTAATTTCAGCCCCTGGTCAGTCCTGTAACCAGTCAAATCCCTGCAAACGTACACCTGATAATTATTCTGGAGCCTAGCAACGACTAGATCCATAAAGGAAGTTACCTGGAGACCCAATGAGAAGTCGTAACCAGTGAGGTCCCTCAAGTCAGGTAAGAGGAAAGGTACACGCCTGTGAAACTGGTTGGTAGTTGTGATAAATATGCATCGTCAAACTGTATTGACTAGTGACAGTCATTTTTAAGACATATACAACATTCAAAGACGACTTAAAAAGGGTGTACCATGCTTTCTTTATTTTATTGTGACCTCATGCTATAAATTATATACCATAAATATTGGAGGACATATTAAAAAGCCACGTGTACTTTTTCCAATAGAAGCAGTTAGTAAGCCAAATCAGATTCACAGTTGTGTCTTTCAAAATACAGCATGTACTTTGGGATGAGTACTGTTAAACCGGGTTATGTGCTTTGTTACTAAAGCTAGTTAACGAATAACTGTACACAACGGAATAAAAGCGCTAAATGAAATGGATGTTAGATCGAGTAATTTAAGCCTAAAAAGCTGGTTTAGAAGTGACGGTTAGAATATGAATTTAGTGCATTTATTTCCTGCTGTAACACTGACAATGAATCAGCCGACAAACTGTAGCCAAAGATATATGCAGAGAAAAATAAAGATTGTTAGAATATACACTGAAAAGACCGTTGGGTGAAATTAAGCTCTACGTACTCTAGTGGAACCTAGGTAGGAGACGGTGAGTTGGTCATCATAGTCAGTCATCAAATTTTGACATTGAGGAAGGCATTTAACTATAAAATGAAAGCTTATAGGTCAGCTTATGAAGATTGTAGAGAATGACAGAGAAGTCGAGGTGTGTCGCTGAAGTCCTATTTTCTACTGGGGGCTCTAGGACCAAATAGTAATAATAACAGAGAAGATGACAATATCATACTGGAAATCTATGTGGTATGTACATATCCACCTCCGACACATTTTAACTGGAAATGACACGAAATTCAGAAGAAAGCAGCCTATGAATGAAATATTCTTCCTTTAATTATCATGAACTATTTTTCTCATGAAACCTCTGAGTATTTAGGGAACTTAAGTAACTACAAATGTTATATTAAGATATTTATGAAAATATTTGGCATATACTGATCTTCAGAGTCACGTGTCTATCACTGTTTTGCTTCTAATGTATACCGTAGATTACACTTTTATGCTTCCAGGTATGATTATGATATTTGGTGACTTTTGCATAACACATGGTTTCCAATGTTTCATCACTTTTGGAACATAATTTGACAAGTTTATTTCTGTGCCTCAAACTACTTAGATATATTTCAGTAGTTAAAAAGACAACTGCATAGTGGATATTGTGTATCGTGTAGATTCTCGAAAAGAATCCAGACATAAAGCGGTGAAGTGGACGTATGTCCGCTAGTGACATGGAGAAAATTATGCGAGGAGGAGGTAAAAGCTTACGGGAGGTC